GTTATTTTATCTGATCACAGCTTTAATAAATATGACAGCATCTATGTTCTATTTTCTATGCATCCTGCAGACACCGTGGATCAGCGTGGATTTAATCCTCAGCAGGAGTCACGGTGATGTTTCCTCATCCACACTGAATAAAATAAAATAATCTCACCGCATTCAGCATTTCCTTTATTTCCTTCATCATATTTAGCTAATTTAACATCATAGTTTTAATGTTCTGTCCAGCTAAGATGAAACTATGGTGTTAAATTAACTAAATATAAGGAAAGAAATGAAGGAGATGCTGAAGGCGGCGGGATTATTATTTATTCAGTCTTTCTGTCGCTGCTGATCCGTGGATCTGCAGAAGTCACGCAGGAGGATTCTCGCTCTGCCGCCACGCAGATCCCGCATGCGGGGCCCGAGGAGGAGCCGCCTGCGGCCCTGATGCGTGATTTCTGCTGCTGCTCATCCATGCGTGGGTTCAGGAAACGGTTGTTTATTTAAATCCAAAATTAGGAGGTTTAAAAAAGTGAAAAATATTTGATTTGATCCTCAGAATAAAGCAGAATTTCTATAAAAGGAGAAAAAAGAATAAAATTTATCTCTGAGAAAAGGAACTGATTTTATTTTCATTCTAACAATAAAAGCGCCTGGAAATAACTGAATGATGAATAAAATAAATGATTTCAGATGTTTTATCAGCGCCATAATCCAGGCCTTAGAAGAGCAGCTTTCCACGCGTGGCGGTCAGCAGGTGTGTTTACCTGCAGGGAGGACGCTCCTCATCCTCAGGTAGCTGCTGGTCAGGCGGATGATGGAGGCTTTGTCCAGCTGGGAGGTGATGGCGGAGGGCAGCGGCAGCAGCTTGGCCAGCTCATAAAACTCACTGTTCTCCTTCTCCCGGCGCGTGCGCGCCGCGTTCTTTGATTTCTCCTTCATGATGCCGTCCGCTCCGGTCCGGGTCCGGGTCCGCTCCGGTCCGGGTCCGGTTCTGGGTCGGTGTGCGCTCACAGCGCGTGCAGATCTCCCATGTCCTGCTCGGGAAGCGGCGCGCGCGCTCGGCCTAAACTCCGCAGCGGGCGCGCGGACACCTCCTCATGTCCACAGGTGTTGGGCTCCTTCTGGACCCGCTGGGTCCTGGACTTTAATGCGGGCCTGTGAGCCGTTCAGGGATCCATCAGCGGCAGGAAGGCATGAAGGAAGCAGGTCCAGAGCTGCAGGCCGATGGAGGCTCAAACCAAACCTGCTTCTACTGGACCCGCTGGGCTCCGAGCAGAACCTCCAACCGGTACCAGAGTCCCTGAGCGCCCATCCTCTGGGTCCCTGAGACCAGCAGCCGCTTCTTCTGCTGCCCAGCGGGAGACACGCCCACCGAGAACAGCTCTGCTGCTATTGGACGGCCGCTAGCGCGGAGTGGAATCCCATTGGTCGGTGAGAGAAAGGAGCGGAGCGCAACGGAAGCTGATTGGTCAGGAGGAATATTCACCTCCTGCTCCAAAGTGAGGAAGACCTCCCTCCTCTTCTTCCTTTGGAGGAAAACGGTACGTAGAAATCTTTTATTTTTTATTCATTTGATTTTACTTTGTTTTATTTTATTTTTTTATTAATAATCAATAAATTCACTGGAAAAAAATGCAACAATTTTTGGCATTTACTTAATATTTAGTTACTTTAACACCATTGTTTTATATCCTACCCTGCCGACATGAAACAATGGTGTTTAAGTAAATAAATATGATTAAATGCTAAAAATAGTTGCATTATTATTTTTCATTGATGACCTTAATAATCTATCTGATCTTTTTTATAGGAAGCATAAACATAGAGCCCATTATTTGGTTTTAGCTATGAAGTATTTATTGTTAATCTGTGTGATTGAAAAAGCACAAAGAGTCTTTTAATGCATCATTTAATAATAATTTTAGTTTATTCTAATCTAAAGGATTATTATACTTTAGTTTTTTTATTAAACAATTATCGTTCAGATGATCCTGATATTTTCTACACACTGAACTTTAAGGAAAGTGTTTTTGTTTTTTCCAATTACTGACCGCTGATGACGTCACAGTGTCGCACCGTTGCTCTCTTTGATTAATGTGCGCATGCGCATCAGGGCTCTCCATGATTGGATCCAGATGTTCTGTTCAGCTTGACATGAGGAATTCCTCCACAGCTCGGTTCTATTAACGGCATAAATTCATTAAATCCGGAGGATTGTTTTATTTGTTGTCTTCTAATTAATTTAATAGCAGACTGGATCCGGACAGGGCGGTAGGGGCCCAGCCAGGCCCTCAGGGGCCCCAAACTGGGTTTATATCTATGAAAAATCTAATGATGTAGCTGCTAATATTAGACCAACCAGTAGCCTTCCTGTTCATCCTGAGGTTTTATTCTCTCCATCTTCACAGCTGATGTCATTTCATTTGTGTTTTTTATTTTAAATGTTTAAAATCGTTGATAGTTCCTGATGCTGCATCAGATCCTCACAGCCGCCCTGCAGCGTTAATCTGACTGAAGACATTTAGAACCTGGTACTATTGAGTTCAGTGATACCAATGTTTTATTTTTTTATTCGCCATAAATAACAGTTTAAAATGAAAATAAAAAAATAAAACATTGGTATCACTGAACTCAATAGTACCAGGTTCTAAATGTCTTCAGTCAGATTAACGCTGCAGGGCGGCTGTGAGGATCTGATGCAGCATCAGGAACTATCAACGATTTTAAACATTTAAAATAAAAAACACA